ATGAAGTACTGTTGCTCTCAATTAAATTCAGATTCGCTAATCAAATCGATTTCCTTGATCCGATATGCATACCCACGATTGTGTCGCACATTAAAGATACGGTAGCTACGAAATAGGCAGTCATTCTTTCAAAATTCCCTTGAACTACTAATATTCGGTGTTATGAATTCGTAACATTTTGCTTTTTCGTATCCTTCGATGGTTAGCAGTGAAACTACAGGAGATATGAGATCTAGTATAGTAACTTAAATTGATTGTAAATGTAATTCGAGCATATATAAATTTTATTTAGCCCACCAAATAGACTCAAATGCAAATTTTTATATCATCTCGAGAACATATCTTTCATGTGCTTACCGTGCTCTTAAAACAACGCATTATCGCGCTATATGGATTTGCCATCCGGATTAGGCCTAAAACCTTTTTCCAAAATTTTTGGTCACATATACAAGCTAGAGAAGCTAGAACACGGTTTCACGGTTTTGTATTTTGATCATTTTTTATCTTTAAAAGCCACAGAATACTACTTTTATAATCACAAAACAACAGCATTACCTAAGCATTTACAAATTTGAGTAATTTCAACATGTTGGAAAAAATTTTCTGTATCTTCTCAGCACCCCTACCTTCATTTTTGAAGTTCGCTGAAGCTCGCTAACTCACACTCTCTACCAGAGCTATTAAAAAGCATATAACATCTTAAATTCCTCAAAATTTCTTTCAACTCTGTATGCAAAAGCGGGAGTGGTTTTTCCAGGACTTTTCTTCGGGAAAAATTCGCACATCCTTAATCAGAGCCTAGATTAACAAGGTCACGCATTCATCATTTATTCACTCTTTATTATTTTTTTATTAAATAAAACAATCAAGCAGCATGTCTGTTGAACTCAAATAACGGCAAGGCAGTAGAAGTAAGGCAGGCTCATCACAATGCGATTCATATAATATAGTCACATCGAAGGCTAACAAAACAATTATAGACTTTAAAAAAAAATGAGTTTTTGAGTTCACAATGAGAACAGTAATGGTAGTGTACGCTATGGCAGTACTTCCTGTGGGCGGGTCACGCTTGCATCCTGCTCGATGCAAGTGTGACCTAATGAAAGCAGTATGAAATGTGATAATTGAAGAAATTTTAGCTGCGCCCAGGCTCCGTAGACTTAATACACACTTGACACCGTGAGACTCGTGTGCGCAGACTTCCGGATTTGAGGGTCTGGCTCTGAGGGATCTGTAATGAGATCTCAATAACATTGG